GGCTGGGTCTGCTTATTTTGGTGTGAGTGGGATCGAGGTGAGGAGGGAGATGAGTGATGGATTGCAAGGTGACTTGAGTGCGGTGGATGAAGTGTGGCTTGTGCGACTTTGGTGTTTGTGCACTTTGTCTTCGGATGCACTCTGTGTGTCTGTTGACTTTGTTCCTCTACCAACTTTGGGTGTCCTTGATCTCTGCTGAACCGCTGCTGCCTGTGCGTGAAAATATGGATTCTGACAAGACTTGAAGCAACGCACGACTCTACCTCAAATCGTCGGCTACTCGTCATTGAGTCCTGATCACAGACGGCGAAGCAGCTTCGATTCGAGGTAACCTCCATGAGGATCTGCATCGGGATACTTTTGCAAATACTGGCGACGTGGCGGTGTCGTTGCAGGCTGCAACCAGGCCTAGAAGAGTAAGATGGAGCGCTCTACAAGGTCGAGGCCAGTTGAGTGGACTCATCGCACCCGTGATGCGGCTCAAACGCGGTCCGTGTGTGCAGACAGGATGACCATGACTTGAGCGCGCTACGTTTATGCCATCCGCAAAGCCTCTTGTTTGTGGCTCTCACCGACTTGAAGTCGGCTGATTGGATCGGGCTATGAGATTGAGTGGACAGCACGTAAGGGCGAGGCAGGCCAGGCGAAGAGTACGCAGCATCGGCGTGCGTCGAGTGAACATTCACCCCCTTTGTCACACGCCAAGACCAGCGTAAATGTGCTCGCAATGCAAGTCTGCCACAGGGCAAAGAGAAGCAAGTCACATCTCTCCTGCACGACACGGCTTAGATCACAAAAGGTGTGTTGTTGTGATTGCTCTACTTGTCTAAGATGGTTCTATGCATGGCCGTTGGCTTTGGCGGCTGGATCGTTTTGGTGCTGGATCTGCTGTGCGAGGGGCGAGATGCCCTTTGCTTCTCCCTTTTCGGGCTCTTCGGCGGTGATGGTGAGCACGAGCGCAGAGCCGTCTTGCTTCCACTCTGCGCTTACGCTCCTCAGATCCTCGACAATGAAATCCGGCTCTTCGAGCATCATCTTTTCGCCCGCATGCGTTGTTCTCAACGCCAGCGTCTTTGCACCCGCCCTCTTACCCGCCCTTACACCGGGAGGTGCATCTTCGACGACGAGACAGCGCGAAATGTCCTTGACGCACTTTTCCGCCCCGAGGAGGTAGGGTTGAGGATCAGGTTTGCCCCTCGTGCACAGGTCGGACGTAACAAAGACCTGAGGAGGATCACTGACCCCAGCAGTGGCGAAGCCTTGTTGAGCATACGCCTTGGTGGCCGAAGTAACAATCGCCCACCCGTGGTTACCTGCTTCGACAGCAGCGGTGGGACGAGTGGAGTTGATCTGCGCGAGAAGCTCCTTGGCTCCAGGCATGGCAACGATGCTGCCCTGACCTTTCGAGGCGTTCTCGCGTGCCACGACGAGAATGTTGCTCTCGAATCGCTCCACCTCTGCGGGGATTTCGTCCTGCGAGATGGACGGGATGAAGCGCTGCAGGTTCTCGACGGTACGGTAGCCGTGACAGGTCTGCATGACAAAGTCGAGATCGAGATTGTACTGGCGCGCAAAGGAGGCCCAGGTGGCATTCACAGCGGGCGTCGAGTCGATCAACGTCCCGTCCATGTCGAACAGGATCGTATCCACTTCCACCGTAACCGTCTTCATCTTGTGCGTGTGCGTGTGCGTGTGTGTGTGTAGGATCACAGAGGAGATGGTGGAAGACAGCCAGGAGTTGGAAGCGAGGCCTGTTTAAGGGTTCAAAGTGCGCCGCGCGCCCCACGTTGATAGTGCGTCTGCAGCTCTGCGAACGTGCCCTCCAAACCTCGCAAAATGTCCCCCGCCTCGCACCGATTCCCACATCCCCCGGTCCGGCTATTCAATCCGTCGTTTCATTCCCGAACGCAGTCGGATGTGTGCGGCACCCGTGGGAGTTCCGCCGCCAGTTGTGCCGGACAGTGCGAGTGGCGTGTGAGCGGCGTACAAGCTTCACCGACGACGCCGAGCGCCTTCGGTTGCGTGCTCGCCTCGGCCCAATTCGAGCACGATTCTTCCCGACGGCAAATTTAAGCACCGACTCGCCCACAGCCAACTCTAACACGACCGCACCAAACCGTCGCGATGGCGCCGAGCGCAAGGTTGCCGCATGTGGGAGACGATACCCGCGAGACTGCCGCAAGGTGGGCGTCGTTGGCAAGTGGCGTTCTCGTCAACATCGTACTGCCATTGAGGCCATCAGTCGAGAGTTTTGGGGAGAAACGCAGTTGACGACAATGGCAGAGTCGGGGGTGCAAGTCTCCCGATTGAAGATGATGTTGTTTGGGGATCGGAAGCCCAATCGGCGATGACCAATGCGGCCGGACGGGTCCGAATCTTTACAGTAGATTTTCGGGACGCAAAAAGCAGCACGTGACTCGCATCCAAAACTGTACTTTTCCCACCTGCCTCTCACTCGACTAAGAAATTCGAACCGACCCTTCAGGCCAATGCCAGGACCGCGACTGGGAGCTGGAAACACTGCCGTCTGCAAGCCAGTCGAATTCCACTGCGCTGCCCAGCCTGTACATCGGAAGCGGGTGGCGAAAATCAGGGCCAGAGTCACCAGTCTGCTGCCGGCCCCGAAATTCGAGCTTGGTGGGCCCAGTGTGTGAGCGCTGTAGCGGCGGTCTCCAACGACACACACACACACACAGTGTGGTGTGGCTACTGGCGGCAGCAGGCCCAGTTGAGAGAGAGGTGCTCGTCGTCACTCCTTCCTCTCCCCCTCATCTTCGACCATCCACCCCTCAAGATCATATCAAAGTACGTATCTGCGTCGATAGCAGCGAGCATACGCACAGTCAGCGCACCCGACATCCAAACAGCAGCAGACGCATCCGGACGCCGCCTTCCAATACATCGCAGAGACAGCACGGACAGCAGAAACAGCAGATCCAACAGACGCAGCAGATACAGCATCGACAGTGGACGCACACGCACGCAAAGACAGCACTGTCAACAGCATGCTTCGAACCTGGTTACACCGGCTGAGATTGACGTTGGTGCCAGTCGTCACAACATGACCGCAGGCACTTGTTCGGCGATTCGACATTACGCACTGCGACATCCAGCCAGCCATACCCACAGTCGCAGCATCACATAGATCGCGGGAACGATCAGAGAGGAGGAGGTTCGGTAGCAGAGCGCCCCCGGAACTCTTGCGTGACTTGCATGTTGCAGAGATATCGAGCAGTGTTGGTAGCATCGATAGAGGCACACGAGCCCTCGCAGAGCTTCAACAAGGCCATCGTTGTGATGCATAGGCGGTGTCATTGCAGTTTTGGCTATTCGTGCTATCGCAAACACGAGCGCAAACACGAGCGCAAGGTCGTTGTGGCAGACCTCGCCTACCTTCCAACATGGGTCTGTCCCAGCATGGCGTCGAAGGACTAGGGCCTCCTCTGTACTCTGCTCGAATGGGTCCACGCCACATTGCACATATCTGCCGTTTGTCCTTCGCACGCATCGACCCTGCTCAGATCTGTCCGTCAACCGCAGCTCTACACCTCACCGACCGTCACCCTGCTGCTCTTCCGTCCTTCGTCTGCTCAAGATCGACTATCTTCTCCGCCATCTGCTGTCTACTGCCATACTCGGCTTGGTTCAGTCTCTGCGTTTGGATTGGACGCGCCAAGTCGCGCCCCTCTGTTGCGTTTGCTCGCTCGCTCTCCCGAATTTTCAACACAGCGCTTTTCAAGTCGCGGAAACTCGAAACTGACCTTCTTCTCCTTCCTCTCCACCTCATCCTCATCTTCAATCTCCAAAGATGGCCGTGAAGCACAACAACATCCTTCACAACAACCACTTCCGCAAGGACTGGCAGCGTCGGGTCAAGGTCTGGTTCGACCAGCCCGGCGCCAAGAAGAGGAGACGCACTGCGCGTGAGGCCAAGGCCGCCAAGCTCGGCCTGCGCCCCGTCCAGCCCCTCCGCCCCGCCGTCCGATGCCCCACCATCCGCTACAACACCAAGGTCCGCTCCGGCCGTGGCTTCACCATCGAGGAGGTCAAGGCTGCCGGCCTCGGCAAGAAGTACGCCCGCTCCGTCGGCATCCCCGTCGACCACCGTCGCCGCAACAAGTCCGAGGAGAGCCTCAAGCTCAACGTCGAGCGCATCAAGGCCTACCAGTCGCGCCTCGTGGTCATCCCCAAGCTGACCAAGAAGAACAAGGACAAGAAGGTCGACCTCTCGAACGTCGAGGCCGTCCGCTCCGTCCAGGTCGCCCTCCCTCTCCCCAAGGGCGTCGAGGCCGAGAAGCCCCGTGCCATCACCGCCGAGGAGAAGGAGTTCAACGCCTACGAGACCCTCCGCAAGGCCCGCGGCACCCACCGCCACGCCGGCAAGGTCAAGGCTCGCATCCAGAAGAAGGAGGAGGAGGCCGCCAACGCCAAGAAGTAAACAGCCTGACCCGTCTTCTGGTCAAGTTTTTGTTGCTTCCTTCGTTGGTCCTCTTTTGTACTACTTTTCTTTTCTCTGTTTACACCTTTTCCCCCATCCCATCGGCATCTCGAATGGTGCCGAGGCTGTCTCGCGGTGGGCGCCGACCTGTTTGTCTTCTCTTGGGGTCCGGTGCTCGCCGTGGCGGCAGCCGCTTTGCGATGGACGAGCGTCGTCCTCGACTCTTTGCCGCCTGCGATGCTAGGAGGCGAGGTCGGCCGGTGGCGCTCGTCTCATCTTGTATTCTCTGCATTTCCCCACCGAGCATGCTGCTAAGCGCGGCACGTCGGTCCGTCTGCACAACTCAACCCACTCGCACATCCCCACCTAACCACACCCCCAAAAAATTCAAAGAGATGATTCCACGCCTTTTTTTCGTTCGCCGACCGTTGGCTTGTTGCTGGGCTGTGGGAAAGGGAGATGAGCTTGCGGACATTGTGTGCGAGGTTTGGGGGTGTGATGCGGCAGTTGAAGAAATGGCGCTGGGGTTTGCGGTTGGTGGGAGCAGGAGGGCTGGGCGCGTGGCTTGCAGTGGAAGGACGCGTGAGGGGAGGGGGCTTGGGTACACCTTCATCTCGAAACCCAGATGCAGCCCACCGTGGTCGGAGGTCCCTGGACTGTGCAGGTGATATGAAGCCGAGTGCCGATCAAGATGCCACCACTTTGCGTTGCATGCTCCCAGATGAAGCCGACAACCCCTAAAGACACACAGCTCCAGCGCCTGGTGCATCGAGAGGCCTATATATGCTGTGTCGCCATGGATCCTCCCTTCTCCCCGTTTGCTCCCCCCACCAGTGTCTCTCTCTCTTTTCCCCCTCCCATCCCGTCTTGTCTCTCAAATCGCAGTTCAACCACAAGCTTCCGTTTCTTTCCATAACCCCTGTTCGGGTGATCACATTCTTTTAGTTTTCGTCAGCGCTTGTTTCATCATGAAGGGTCTTGTTCCTTTCGTCCTCATCGCCCTCTTCCTGGGCCGATTCGAGGTCAATGCCGCGCCCATGCAGACCATGGCGTAAGTCGTCCCACCCTCCCTCCTTCCTCGATACTCGATATGCTGACATCCTTGTATTCGCGTGTTGCAAAGGCTTGCTCCTGAGGGATACGGTTCGCCACCGCCTACGCCTGCCGTGCCGGACTACAACTCGGGACTGACCGACAACGGATCGTCGGGCTCGTTCCCAGGCAGCCTGACCTCGGCCAGCCCCAAGAGCAACTCCGGTGCCGACAAGCCCGACTCGTACGCCAACGACCAGCCTGCACCTGCTGACAACTCGGGCAAGGACGCTGCTGGTAAGGACGACGACTGCGAGGACGACAAGAAGCAGCCTGAGCCCTCGCCTCCTGCGCCTGCTCCCCAGGGCGGCGATGCGAGCAAGGACTCTCCTTCGCCTCCTGCGGATGTTGCTCCCCAGGCGGGCAGCACCGGCAAGACCGATGAGGACTGCGACGAGGACAAGACTGACTCGAGCGACAAGTTGGACAAGTCGGACAAGTCTGACAAAGCTGACAACAGCAAGTCGAGCAAGTCTGACAAGTCTAACAAGTCGGACAAGTCGGACAAGACTGACAAGTCCAACGGTGGTGAAGCCGACGAGGACTGTGACGATGACAAGCCGCAGAATTCTGGCGGCAGCAGCACCACCACCACGACGAGCCACTCGTCCAAGTCGTCGCACTCGAGCCACAGCAGCAACTCGAGCACCACCACCACTACCACCACCACCAACGGTCAGCCCGACAACTCGGGCTCCTCCAAGTCCACCAAGTCGGACAACGCCAACAACAGCGACAAGAACGCTGGCAAGACCGACGAGGACTGCGACGACGACGACAAGACCGACAAGTCGGACAAGTCCAACTCGGCCGGTGACAGCAACACCAACGCGTACGATGCTGGCAAGTCCGATGACGCCGACTCGGCTCCCAAGGCCGACAACTCGAGCACCACCCCCGCTGCTCCCGCCACTGCTGGCGCTGATGAGAACTGCGAGGAGGGCAAGGACAAGTCGACCAACAGCAGCGCCAACGCCGACAACTCCAACGCTGACACCACCACCAGCGACGTGCCCAAGGCTATCAACTCGGGCAGCGCCCCTTCGGCTCCTGCCGACGAGGACTGCGACGAGGACAAGGAGCAGCCCGCTCCCTCGCCTGCTCCCAAGTCGATCAACTCTGGCAGCACCACCTCTGCTCCCGCCGAGGAGGACTGTGAGGAGGACAAGCAGCAGCCTGCTGCCTCGCCTGCTCCTCAGGGCATCAACTCGGGTAACGCATCCTCTGCTCCAACGGAGGAGGACTGCGAGGACGACAAGCCTGCTGCCTCGCCCGCTCCCAAGTCGATCAACTCCGGTAGTGCCACCCCTGCG